AATTGTGAATCGGACTGCCATAATCTGCATGCTACATTACTCATTTCTTTTGTTCATACAGTTACTCACACATGTATGTAATTATTTTTACCCCAGCACTACGTTTTTAATGAAAAGGCCCTTTCAAGTGTCCCATCATTTCGGAATACGTTATGTTAAGCAGAGAATAACGAATAATCCCTCATAAGCACCAAATGATAACTTCGGCCGTGCGTGAGCATGAAGATGACCTCGTCGATGCTGTCTGATGTATTCGTAAAAAACAGGTCCAGGCACTTAACCCTTTGCCCTTGACGTGTTCTGGATTGAAATATGACATATTGCATGTAGAAAACGATGATAAAAAGTCGATTTGCACATGACACATGAACTGCGTTCTAGTTATTTTTCGGTGCACTGAAGTCGCCCAGGACCATGACCTTAGGTCGATTGTAGAATTTCACCAACTATATATCATCTGAATGTCGGTAAACCATTTTATGCTAGGTGACTAATAGACAGTAAGGACATGGAGAGGAGGGGAGCCAGCAGCCTTGATGATGGTCCAAATAGCCTTCATGCTGCGCGTAAGCTTAATGGTCTCTTCGGATACCATCAGAACTTTTTACTCTACACAGTTAAACGGTCTTCCTTGTCCCTCTCATATATTTACTATTCAGATAATGACGTTTAGCCGACTCGAATATTATCAAGAAGCCTGGTCGTGGTTACTGTTATCACGGTTGTAGATATTTAAATGAATAAATTGTTTTATTCGGCCTCCATTAGGGTACCTTTGTAGAAAAAAAATACATTTCGATTGAATTTTAGCACGAGTAAGCAATATTGCTGTTATGATCCGCGCCTGGTACTTAATTAGCACTAATGCCGAACCAAAGAGCCCGTAAGAGAGACAGAGAGAAGAACAGTCGGCCAGAGGATGAGAGAATTTAATCAGATCAGCGCGTTACAGCAAGTCAGCGCAAGTCCTTGAGTGTGTAACAGGTACGACAAAATTAGGTAAACAAGCGACTATGAGCTAAGTCATTTGAGCCCATCAGCTTTTGGCTACCGGCGTAATTGACTGGGACTCGGCGGCTGACATTCAGCTTAAACTTTGACTTGTCGATTGATCTGACTGCCAGTTGCGTTTGTTGCCTGTTGGCCGATCGATAGCCTTCTGTGCGCGCAGCTGCTTGCGCAGGCTATCTATATGTTTTGCTCGCCTCAACACATACCCTTAAAGTCTGTCAGTACCGCTGATGCCGTGGATTGGCCTGTATGCACTGCGATCTTTGACGAGCACGGTTAGTCCGGTGTGTTGTGAGCAGTTTCAGGTCTACTGGTGTGGGGCCAGGAAATGGTTCCGAAAGCAGTACATCCGAAGGGGCTACAAAAGTCGGTTCGAGGACTTACTGGTCCGCTGGAATAGCAAAGGTGTCCAGTAGCATGTCGAGAGGGAGTGAAACGCCTGATTCAGATTCGGTTGGATTGCTGTACTGCCGCCATCAAATCTGATTGTGGTGACGAACCCAGGTGTCATCACCGACAGAGACGTCAAACAGCATGCTGCCTTCTGTGCGCCGTTGTTGTCCCCTCAATCCAGTGTGGAAGTCCTGCTCGGTAGTCACCAACAAAAACCGGTCTTCCGAAGGAGTGTTTGCCACGAGAGACAGGTAGAAGTGGCTGTGAGGACGGCAGATTAGTAGGCAGCAGCGCATGGAACTTCGTTCTAAGTTTCCGGTCCATTAAGGCTTCGGCGGGGGATACACCACCAGGAGACGCCGCGTTATGGGTGGTCCTGTAGGAGAACAGGAATGCCTGGAGTATCTCGTCTGTAGTCCCCTCCCCATGAGCTTTTTAAAAGGGCTCTTTTGAAGGTTTCAACAAAGCGTCCTGCCTCATCGTTTGATTGGGGATGTTAGGGCGGGGAGCGCAGATGCTAGATGTGGTGTTGGCGGCAGAAATCCGCAAAGGTATATAAGGTAAATTGCGAGCCATTTTCCGACACCAAGACATCCGGTAGGCGATGTTGACTGAGGAGACGCCGTGGGAAGGCGATAGTGGCAGAGGTAGTTGCCGGATGCAGCGGTGCAATCTTGGGCCACTTTGAGTAGGCGTCAACCACGACTAGGTAAGTGATACCGTCGAGTGGGCCAGCGAAATCGAAGTGCACACGAGACCAAGGCCTATCCGGAGTTTGCCATGGTACTGGCGGTTGACGAGCGGGCATTTTGGAGCTGGCTGTCCACGGGAACAGCACCGCACGAGATCGTCGATGTCACTGTCAATACCCGACCAGTAGGCAAACCTGCGAGAAATGGACCTTATTCGATTAGTACAGGGGTGAGCAACATGAAACTGGCGTAACACAACAGGTCGAAGTGAAGGAGGCATGACCACACGGTCTGCAAACATGAGGCAGGAATCCATAACAGACAGCGATGCTCGATGCGGGAAGCGCTGATGAAGATTGCCAGTCAGAGTAAAGATGGGCAAATTGGTTTGCACATAGGTGCTATCTTTTCGAAGCACGGGATCCTGTTCGTTAGCACGTCGTATTTCGGCGGCAGTTACAGGAATGCCTCGAATGGGGTCCGAAAGTTGACGGCGCACTCCGTCCTCAATCGAAATAGCAGCAATCACACTATCTTCCTCGGGTTCCTGATGATTACAGATGGGGCGTGAAAGGACGTCAGTCTGGCCAAAGTCAGTAGTGTGACAGTAGTGGATATCAAAATCGTAACCGAGAAGAATGGTTGCCTATCGTGGAAATGGGGTGGTTGAATAGACTGGAATGTCGTTCTTCGAACCAAAGATGGACAGTAACGGTTTATGGTCGGTCAACAGAGTGAAATGACGACCATACAGCAGCTTGTAGAACTTCTTAACGGCAAAGATGAGGGCTAAGGCTTCTTTCTCGATTTAACCACAGGGGTTAAAGTTCGTGATGCGTGCATGATCGCTTTTTCGGACCCGTCGGGGAAAGTATGCGAAATGACGGCACCAACGACATGGTTGGAGGCGTCTGCAGCAACGACGATTGACACTGTCGGGTCATAGTGTTTGAGCAGCAGATCTGAACTCAGCATCGACTTAAGCTCGACAAATGCCTTTTTACAGCTGGGGGGCCAGGGATCATCCCTCTGCAGTAGACGGTTGAGCGAGGCTCTTAAGTCGTGCAGCGACGGTAGTAAGTCGCTATAGTAGCTGATCAGGCCAAGAAACGATCAAAGTTGTGATAAATCCTTGGTTGCAGGCATCCGTTGGATGGCAAGAATATTTTCGGGATCTGGATGGCGACCACTGGCGTCAAAGATGAATCCAAGGTACCTGGTGGATGCAAGGAACAATTGATAATTGTCGGCCCGCAAGCGGAAGCCATATTCCTGCACGCGTTCAGGTACTGCTTGTTCAAGCACTTTCGGTCTTGGAGCTCAGCCGGGGAGGGACCCATGATGATGATGTCGTCCAGGTACCCAGGCGTGCCAGAAATGCCGGAGAGCATTGCGTTCATAGTTTGCTAGAACAGGGCCGGAGCGGTCTTGACACCAAAGGGAAGCCTGGTGTATTGGAAC